GTACCCCGGCGGCGCCGCTCCAGCGGTCACATGCTTCTCCGCGGGGGCCACCATCTTGGCCGCCCGAAGAGAACTGACGTCACTGCCGAGGGAAGGGGTGGCGCGGGGGCTGCTGGGAGCTGCAGTTCGGAGCCCGGGGCTGCCATTGATGGTGCATCACGTGATTGGAGCATAGCTCGGAGGCGCCTCAGCGCCAGGCGGGAGGCAGGAGGCGCCTGGCGCACGTGGGCGGGGAGGTAGCAGGGAGACTGGCCTTGAGCCGGCCCCGGGGCAGCTGTCGAGACCGGCTGTGGTGCTGGGCCGCCGCCTCCTCCTTGGCTCGGTACCCGGCGGCTCTTCCCAGAGCGGCCCCGCCTTCTTATCCCGGGATAAATATATCGCGCGTCACCACGGCGATGTACACAGGTGTAGCAGGGGCCCTTGGCTGAGGACGGGTGGTGTCTTCCTGCTCAGGGCCTGGCAGAGCAAGGGCTGCCAAGTTTTGGCCAGAGTGCCTGGCGCACACCTGCGCCTGGCAGAGCCACACGCAACCCTCTGGGCACACACTGTGGGAGGCGCTGGGGACATTGGCAACACATAGGTGATGCACGCAGGTGCATGTGCACCCCTTGAGACTGGCTACTGGTGCCAGCGGAGCCTGTAGGTGGTCGCCATTTGCCAACCCCACTGCCACCAACACCACTAGTGGTGTCTGTGGGCCGTCGCCGATTGCCGCCACTGACACTGCCGACTGTGTCTGCAGGTGGTCAACGACTGCTGGTCAGTGCTCGCCGCCCCCAACCCCGCTGCAGCCTCCTGCGGGTGGTCCCCACTCAGCGTGCCCTCGCTGCCAGTGTCAGCGCAGCCACCTGTGGACATTCTCTGCTCACCGCCACCATGCCCCCACTGCTGCCTGTGGGCGGTTGCTATACTCCCCCAGCCTCAGGAGGCACGAGGCATTAATGGCCCTGCCCCAGCCCCTTCCCTGCTGCCAGGAGCCAGTACCAGAGCCCAGCCTGGGCTGGCTGTGGGGTGCCAAGCAAAATGACCTTGTGTGCTGGGGGTGCTAGGCCCCCAGAAGAGGGAAGAAGGGTGGTGTGTGCTAAGAGGCAGCAAGATCTGAGGAGGAGGAGCCTTAAACATGGTGGGTGCAGAAGAGGAGCAGCACTGTCCGCAAGGGCACAGTGCTCTGTGCCAAGCAAAGGAATTACAAACAAGGAAGATTGGTGGGGGGGGGGGGGAATGACATGGATGCCAGGACTGGATGGAGCATTATAGACTAACTCTTCTTCTTAAGGCACATTGTTGAAAAGTGGCCAGTGTACAGCCAATACAGGCTAGAAGCCAGTTACTGCCATCCTTTCCAAGAAGACATTTGATACAAAACATGTATGTGGATACAATCATCCTTTCTGGAGAAACTGTAACCTGAACATATTTTCATCACAAATTAGCAGGGACGGATCAAGTGTTAATGTTGACAGTGAAAGAAAGACCTTTTTATTGGGCAGGTATTTAACAAGAAAGGTTAAGTTGGTGTAGTGGCTGTGGAGATTTGTTAGAGATGTCTTGTTGTCTGTTGTAAGCTAGCTGGAGCCTTTTTGAGAAGCATAGCGTACAAATCCAATACATACGTGCACAAATGGAAGTGTATTTTCTTGGCTTCAGTTTCTGGAATGGCCACGGACTGGATAAAGGGAAGTGTAGTGGATCGAAGCAATACAGAAATATGGACAGGACAACAAAGGCGATGCAACCTCCATTTTGCTGAGGGTGCTGCACTACTGACAAAAGTGTAATTAGAGATGATGGACAGGGTAGTAAAGGTGGGGGCACATCTTGCAATGGTCAGCATAGAAAAGAATATTTTGGGGGGCCATATTCTTCCCCCAGTGTCTGAAAAAATCTGAGGCAATCATGGAAAGTGAGGGTTGGAAGGGATCTCAGGAGGCCATCTAGTCCAACCCCCTGCTCAAAGCAGGACTAGCCCCAACTAGATCATCCCACTTGAGGCTTCTTTTGGCTGGGTCTTAAAATTATCTCCAAGGATAGTTCCACAACCTCTTTGGGTAACCTGTTCCAGTGCTTTACTACCCTCCTAGTGAGAGAGGTTTTTCCCAATATCTAACTTCACTTGCTGCAACTTGAGACCATTGCTCCTTGTTCTGTCATCTGCCACCACTGAGAACAGTCCAGCTCCATCCTCTTTGGAACCCCCTTCAGGTAGTTGAAGGCAGCTATTAAATCCCCTCTCAGTCTTCTCTTCTCCAGACTAAATAAGCCCAGTTCTCTCTGCCTCCCCATATGTCATGTGCCCCAGGCCCCTAACCATTTTTTTGCCTGCTGCTGGACTAATTTGTCCGCATCGTTTCTGTAGTGGAGGGGGCCAAAACTGGACACAGTACTGTACTCCAGATGTGGCCTCACCAGTGCTGAACAGAAGGGAATAATCACTTCTCTTGATCTGCTGGCAACACTACCAATGCAGTCCAGTATGCCCAATGAAGATGGGGGATGCATGAGTAATGCACGTGAAGATTACAAAGGTGTTGAAACAGGTCAGAAAGTTTTGTTGTCTGGGAAACAGCATTAATTACTCAGGGAGCATGTGTTAAGAGAACAGCGAAGATAGCAAAGGCAAATGCAGAATTTATTAGGCTTGATAAGAGCAAAAGATCCAGCAACACCAGCTGAGAATACACAACATAACACTTATCACAGTGCTCTTGCATGGGATGGGGTAGAAACACTAGTGCTGAATAGGGCTTGCAAGTGTTTCTTCCTCGGTACCTTCAAAAGATTGCAGAAGTGCATTAAGATATTGATAACGCAGAGTGTATGCTCAGACTGCCATGCTCAAAGGCAAATTAGATGGCTTGGTCCTCTATTCAGGATACAGGGTGCAAAGATCCTGAAGCAGGCTGTGTGTTTGCTAGTGCCACAAGAGAAGGGGAAGAGGCGGCAGCATTTAACTTGGAAGGAGAATGTGTGTAGATTATTGGGAAATACCAAACTTGTGGGGGTAAGCATGTCACACAGCCTGGGACAGGATCAGCAGGGATAATTATGTCCCACCATTCCAGAGTACTGTAATGACTAATGAGGAATAGGAGTAGCATCCCTCAAAGGCTTTGGAGGCCTCAACGTGGTGGTGGGTACCAAACACACAGACACACTATAAAAGTTATGGTGTAATTGAACAGATTTTCCTTTCTACTCTTACAGCATTTGAAAGCCTACACGAAGTGAGAACTACCAAAAAGGTGAGATGGTGCATATTTACCATCTCCTCTTTTAATTAAAAGGTTTAATTTTGTTATTTTGATGTTCATGAAAAAGGCCAAATAGGTGTTCAGTTTACTGATCTTTCCTTTCAGAACAGGTACAGTAAATGCAATTACAATACATCATGCTTTCATAGGAGCCCTCCATTATACTTCAGCCCTGACAGAACAGTTATCTTCATAAGAGGCAGAGGGTACTTCTATCTATATTAATTCTTTTGTCTCTAGGCTGCCAACATCATCTGTTTTGGTGGTCTGGACATTGATCTAAGAACTAGATGAAGACATTTCACATAGGACAACAATAAGTTATTAGCTGGTAGTTCTGTCAACTTAATAGGCCTGGTCTGAATGGCTTTATCATACTTGTACCTTGTACTTGAAAGATAGCCCAGCTGTTCCATTACCTGCTTAGTTATGTATGGCATTTGCACTGAACCAGAAACACTAGATACATACTAAGTTGTTTCAACTGGTGAAACAGACTTGATTAAAAATCTTAACAGCACCACCATTCTGATCTTTCAGCTGCCTCATAGCATCTAAAGAAGCTTAGAATCCACTCTCTGTATAACAAACATTTATTCAGAAACAGATCATACATAATCTTCTCCAACCCCTAACACTCACTCCCCCCACCCCCTTTTATTATTAAAACGCAGATGTTTGATGGGTGACCTAAAGGAGGAACAATAGCAGTCTTAATTCCCCTCCCTCCCCCCCCAAACATCTGCAGTTCACAAGAAGTACTTTCCATAATGGTGCAGTTGATTTCCAGACCAAAATGAGTACTCCAGAAAAGCAAGTCCTGTTGAGTCCTCCGTTATTTCCATGGCTAAGAGGGATATGTTGTGAGAGAGGAATGGTTTGTACCAGCTGGACAGAGTAAAGAATTTGCACATAACAAGAGCAAAAGAAACAAAGAGCAGACCAAGAAACAGAGTCTGAAGCTAGTGGTATTGGACAGATTACAGTACTTAAAAGATTTCAGCAGAGCTGAACAGAACTGGTTAGTCTCAGAGCTGCAAGGATAATGTTCAAACCCAAGTAGGGGTGGCTGTTACCTTCCCACTCTTCTCATACTACACTTTAAAATTAATACAAGTACATGTAGCTATTGGCTTTCCAGTATTCACCAAGTTAATGGTGTGCCAATAAAGGAAGCACTGAGTGCCACCTAGTGGCTGCTGAATCTCCAGAGACAGACAGTCTCTTTGGAAGGTACATCTTTGCTGCTTGACATGGGACCTCCTGGTTTCTACGCTTCCTCTGCCGTATCCCATCTGGAGCTCCGGTTGTCCTCCTGCAGCCATCCCTCTTAAGCCATGAAGTGCATCCACCATCCTTCCTGCCCAAGTATGTGAGCTACTGTGTAGAGCTAAGCATTACCCAAAAGGAGCCCTGTGAAAACTCTCAGTCCTCAAGGGCAGGAGGAAAGGGATTGCTTCCTACAATTAGTGTTCAACTTCGTTCCCAGGTTACTACTCCATAAAATCAGATCAGAGAACATAGAAACACCCCCTTCCTTTTCCACCTCAAAGAATGAATGTCAGGGACCGCAGAATACCACAATACAGCTTAATGGAAAGGGAAACGTTTGATTTCCTTTGGTTCTGGATACATGAAGTCAGTCCAGAAACAGGAAAAGGAGGACAACTCACCCTTAGGTACTCTAAAGGTTCTGATATATTTAATCCTATAAATGCCAGAGTTATTTTCTCCACCTCAGCACGCTATCAAATGCCGAAATTCACCAGGACATTAGCAGAGGCTTAACTGTGCCAGCATAAC